CCCCCCTTCGACATCGTCGTCATCGTTACCGTCTTCGGCACCGCTGCCACGTCATCATCAAGAAGAGGAAGAAGAAGGGGGGGATGATGGCGACGAGGAGGGGGGAAGAGAAGATGATGACGGCAATGGTGGAGGAGGAGGAGGAGGAGGAGGAGGAGGAGAAATAGAAGAAGAAGAAGAAGAAGAAGAAGAAGAAGAAGAAGAAGAAGAAGAAGAAGAAGAAACGAGGACGAGGCATCGTCCTCGTCACCGTTGCCATCGCCGACGTGCAAAAAAAAAATGTAATGAACCCAATGTCGTGGAGAAGCCAATCAACTATGTCATAAAAGTCTGAACTCAGCGCTTAACATGATGTCTCCAACCATGAATGCACATTTGAATACTTGTGTCAAAAGCAGCGGGCCATCACAGCAGAGCAGACAGGGGAGAGAGAGACGAGAGACAAGACAAACGGGAGAAGAAGAGAACAATAATAATCAATAATACATGTATGTCACTCCTCTTTCCCACTTCCTCATCAGGCTTCTCCCCTATCGCCACCTCAGCAATGCATGATCTCTTCTGCCGGCCACTGACATAACACTGTGCAGATCGAAGCAGAGCGCCCAACCTCCTCCCAACATTCACATCAAGCTATGGAGGATGGAGCCATCCTTCTGCACCTTCATGGAGACCAGCAACGGATTAAGCATGTCGACGCCAGGTAAAGTCCAGGTAAGCTTCCCCTCAATCCTCACCTTAATCACACAGTAAGATCCGCCTCCTCCTCGCCCAACCTCATCTCCTACAATAACAGCTATGGCTATGGCGGCAATGGCTGCTTCGGCATGTCTTCCCTCAAGGCTGGCGCCCTCCAGCAGCATCTGGCACCAGCAGCATATCTCCCAGCCTCACAAGCAGCAACTTGGCCAGTAGCTTGTGCATAGTCTAGTCACACCCGTAGAGGTTTTTTCACGAGTAGTTGGCTTAACAGCTCGACAGTTTACTCATATCTTCTGAAATTATACCTCAAATTTGCTCTCAGTTTTTCTTAGCCGAAGCTGGGTATTTGCCCCGGTATCTAAATGATTGCAAATTCAAATGGGATGCTGGGCCTGGCTCCCAGCACGTGCTGCTCCCCAGAAATAGATCGGAGCTAGAAAGGCAGAATGCTCTTCTCAGTGGTCTGGCTGACCTTAAGTAGCGTTGACCAGCATAGACTGGCATTGACCAGTCTCCCCTTTGACCACGTCGACACTCCAGATTTGTCAGATCTTGACGGCCTGGGTGCAGCCTTGAAGCGGCAGTACCATTTCCCAGTCGGAACTGGAATCTTCCGGATACCTGCAGGCAACCAATTATAAGCATCTGATATATGGCCAAGGCTGACTATTGGGTTGACTTTGACTTCGGGCCTGCTTTTCCCGTGCTGGGTCTGACTCTTCAATTTCCAAGAGTCAACTATCTCACGTTGGGGTACGGGACAGCTTTTGACACATGGCCTGATACCCGTTGACCATCTTCAATTTCCTCAGACTTGGGACGTGACGTTTGACCCCTGTTCCTTGGCCTTTGAACAAAAGTGACAACCCTTGCCCATGTCTGTGCTGATTTGAACTGAGCTAATTGCAAAAAAGGAAAACAATTTGATAATTTACCTCCTTGCAGCGCAAGAACAGATGACTCTGATCAGTCGAGATGTCTTGCTTGTTGAGGTCCAGCACTTCATTCCCAATCAACAGTTGGATGCTCCCATCAGACCACTTCACAAACCTTGCATTGCTTTCATACTTTTTTCACAAATTCAACAAACACACACAGAAAAATAAAAACAAAAAAAATCAGCGACATGATCCTGATTTGTCAAAAACAGAAAAGAAGTGAGGTTCAGCACCTCATTCCCAATCAACAGTTGGGCTGCTCCCATCAGATCACTTCACAAGCCTTGAACTGCTTTGTGTCGTATGCCTAATTAGCATCGATCAGAACCGGGAACCGACCTCGCAGAGCGACAATACAACAATAGCACAGCGGAAGACTGACATACCAACACCTGACTCAGCATGGACAATGACAGGACCTGACAGCACTCGTCATCACTCTGGGTGAGGGGACTCAGCACCGCAAACATGGAAGGGGTGCTGAGTCCGAACCATATACGGACGAAGGAGGGAGGAGAGAGACAAAGGGAAGAGGGAGATAGGGAAGGCCACCATAGCCCAATGAACCCAGTCTCCAATGCATCCCCAATGTCGAGTCGCAATGCCACTGAACCGGGGAATGCCCAAATGTCACCAAGTCTCAATGTCAACTCTCTCTCTCTCTCTCTCTCTCTCTCTCTCTCTCTCTCTCTCTCTCTCTCTCTCTCTCTTATACCTCAAAAGAAGAAGAAGAAAAAGCAGAAGCAGAAGAAGAAGAAGAAGAAGAAGAAGAAGTTCTGGAGGGAAAGAGGAGTGATGAAGCACAGGCAGACGAAGAAGAAGAACTCTCTCTCTCTCTCTCTCTCTCTCTCTCTCTCTCTCTCTCTCTCTCGGTATGCCAGGCACTAACCTGCAGAAAGGTGTTGGCCTGATGCAGGTGCAGATGTGCTGAAGACGAAGCTGGAGCCATGGTTTCGCAGGTAAGTCGACAGGTAAGTCCCCTGGCCTCCACCAACCTCTACTCCCACTGGTGTCGTCGACTCCTATCAGCGCCCAGCACTCTACTCGAACATTACAGCGCCCAGCGTGTCGACTGCTGAAGACTACGTCTTATAAGACCTCAGTACTCCCTGGCCGACCCAGCTATATATAATATGCAAGCAGGTGCAGCCAGCGCAGCTCCGCCCGCGAAAACCGTCAGGAAGCAACCAGAATGAAGAATCTCACTTCCCTCTTTCTGTCTCTGACTCTATGCTTTTTTTGTTAGTGTATGGCTGGATGTTTCTGTATCACTGTTTTAGCTCTTGGCGTCTTCTGTCTTTCTAAGCGTTTGTGGAAAGCAGAATAGTAAACAGCAATAGTCACAAACAGCAAGGTCATACACGGAATGTACTAAGATAAGGTAAAGCAACATCCAAAAATGACAGTCGGGCAAAGATCAGCCAGCGCGCGTCTGGCGTTAAGAATGTAGTGGGAGTAGACCCCACTTCAGGGTTCCAATTTTCGCTCTCTGTGTGTCTGTGTTTTTCTGTTTGTATTGCTTTGTCCTCCTCTTCGGGCGATTGTGTTTTGTCCACGCTCGATGCTGACCGTGATGTTTGACGTTGTTTGTTGCTATCTTACCTTTCTTTCTCTTTTTTTTTTTCTTTTTTTTTTTCGTCTTTAACGTTTTCAGATCATGATCGTCGTTGTCTGGAATCATCAACATCGGCATTCGAACTGACAAAAAGCAAACAACATCACAGCCAATACATTGCGAGAACCGGCCCAAGCACCTACGGACCGACCCGGCCCAAGCACCTACACGCCGAAAGCACCCAGTGACCTACCCGGCCCAAGCAGCCACGCATGTAGCCACCCCAAGCACCTACCCACCCACCTGCCCAAAGAACCTACCCACCGACCCCGCCCGAGCACTTGCCCGCCGACCCAGTCCAAACACCCACCCACTGACCCGTCCAAAGCACCCACCGACCGG